GTGGTTAGAGATCACTGAGATAATACATAGCGCCGCTCATCTTTCAATTGCAGAAAACCACATCACATGGTCACGTTTTGATTGACTCCTCTAGCGACCGCATCCCACATAGAAATTTCGCATTTCAGTGAGGTTATCCATCCGCGGACCTATCAGTGAAGCCAGTCTACGCGGAAAGATCGGGAGGCAGCGTACAACAGTTTCATCCTATTCGGGAATCACCAGCAATGCGCACCTCACAAAACCGGGATCAATGGCCAGTTTGAAGTTGCCCACGACTGCGATCGGCGTTGGAAAAACGATATCTACAATTTGTCAGAGCATTATGCTTCGATGACGAAATCTATCGACAAAGGGACGATATTCTGACAAGGTCTACTGCTCGGGCAATTTTCTGGATATTTTCCTGAATAAACTAGTTAACTTGAATAAGAATTTTTTTGAAATAAAAACGAGTCTCATTTGCACACGAATTCGGTTTTGACGAAAGACTCAAATAAATCCCTCATTAATACGGTCCGGTTCAACGGAGTGTGTTCAACATAAAATTGTCGTTCGCTTGGAACACACCTAACCAGCGACTCTTGGAAGTGAGGAACGTCAAGAATGCAACCCCTATGGGCTGTCTATCTAGTGTCTGCCAACCAGTTTGCTAAGCCTAGCATTTAGGTTACAAACGCTTCACTGTCATCAGCATAGCAAGCATGAACACCGTGCAAGGCTAATGTCTAATGAAACGTTGGAAATCCAACTGTTGGGTTTGACGGACAACTCGGCAATCAGGTGATGGATAAACTGTATAGTCACTCGAGTTGACAATGTGTCGACATATTTTGCGTGATTGGACCGGTCAAATCATCATCATCATCCTACTCATCGCCATCACCATCACCATCACCATCATCATCATCATCATCAATTACATCGTCATCCGCATCATCATCAAATTCATCATCATCGTCATCTTCATCATCATCTTCACCATGATCAACTTCAGCGTCATCATCATCATAATCATCATCATCGTCATCACCATCATCCTCATCCTCATCCTCCTCCTCCTCATCATCATCATCACCGTCATCATGATCATCGTCGGCATCATCATCAGCATCATGATCAACTTCATCGGACGATGCCTCCGGTGGCTGACTGATTTCTCGGAGGAAACGATTAGAGCCTGCAGCGGCAAGCACGCTATTAATCGTTCACAATTCGGGTGAGAACACTCTATGGATTGGCTGATACCGCCAGTTCCGGTTGCGAAAAATTAACACCATACAATTACAGAATTCTCACATCGGCAGTCTGTAGAGTTTTCCTACCGATCAAGCCAGTCCTCGTTCACCGTGGACACGGAATGCAAGCATACCGTGAACTAACCTGATATATTCAATGGTTATTGGTCTGATCGCCGAGCTTGGCAGTTGGACTGCAAACGTTTCATCATCAACTTCATCATCACCATCATCATCATCGTCATCATCATCATCATCATCATCATCGTCGTCAACATCATCGTCATCAACATCATCGTCACCGCCATCATCATCGTCATGATCAGCGACACCTCGACATTAGTGGCAACCACTGATGCTTCGCTGTGGTACAAACATAATTTATTTGAAAGCTCATCTGTGAAAAAGAAACCAATAAATACAGACTATGAAAGAACTTGGTGCTAGCTCGGTACAATCATTCTCAGGTGCATCCTTTCAGGCAAACTCGAGAGTGAGTGAGAGAGACTGACCACAAGAACGCGAGTGACATCGGTTAACAGCCGTATCCGGCAGCGTCTCACACTTGAGTTAGTTTCACAAAGGAATTTTAAGAATCTGCGATAGTTGCGAGCGATTTCAGGGCTTCGAATTAATAACGTCTACTTCAAAAATTTCACTAATTTTTCCATGCTCAAACCAGGGTTATATGAAATTTTGTGTGTACCTACGGGTTGATCGCGCTTACCGCTCACTCAGATGATGGTGGGTTACTTTGCGAAGTTAGTTTGTGTAATTTTAGCCACTTGTGAAGTCGTACTTTGCATCAGACTTGCCCTAAAATGGCGTGAGTAGATTACAGACGTCGCTCTGCACTGTCTGACGTCATCCTCTGCAGCCATTCGGCCGTGGAACGGTAGGCAAAGTTGGACGACGTGATAAAATTCGATGTTGACGTGAATTACAAACCTTTGTGACTAGGGACAAGATTTTGTTTGGTGACAGGACTTGTTCCAACCAAAGTCCACATTTATGCTACCAGAAAAAACCATCCATCTAAAGGTCATTTCTGCCTTATTCCTTCATCCATTTAGAAAACTTAAGATTGCGAAACTTATCTTTCAACCATATACTCACTCAATTAATGATTTATTTATTCGAGTTCGTCAGAAGATACTGTGTGCTTCGCTGAGATTAGTGAAGCACCATGAGGGTGAACACCAATCTGGATAAGCGAGATCTTAACAGACGAAACGTGTTCATCCACACCTAACAGTAACGTTTTGGTTTCACATTTCACCTATTTCAGGATTATGTTCACATTTCACCTATTTTAGGATTATGTAAGGCTTTTTTATCCATTCCATTCCATGCCAGTTCCTTTGTTTATTGCAGCGCGATAATGATTGGTGTGTGAGTAGCAGAGAATGATTAAGTGTGTGGAACACTGACCGTGGTGTTCGACGGTTCATTTCTTAAGATTCACAGTGAAACCGAACCTCAGTGAGGGTGGAAGAGATGTAAAGTGCTTCCAGGCTTCACATCCCGGACGAAATGTTGATGAGAATTCGCTGAATGGATCTCTTTATGTCAACTGTATGAAGGTTTTCCATGCACCTCCGAGGTCACTGGAGCTCGTCACTTGCTAGCTTTAGAACTCGTGAGTAATCTCACATTGCAGTGTGATAGACGAAGTTCATACACAAATCTGTGACATCCGAGTCATTTTTCTGACTCTGGACTCGTGTAGCTGGAAAGCGGTATACTCCCGAATCTCTCAGGATGTGTGTCAGGCTACCGTACGGGTTGCATCGCCGTATAGCTGTGAAACGTAGGCCCTGCGATCAACTAACCTAAGATATCTTTGGGTCCTCGATCAAACTGATCTGCGTGAATCCATGACGAGACAGTAAGCAAATGAGTGTATGGGGGTGCAACAGAGACTTCAGTGGAGGAAAGTGTGACGGTAAGAAAGAGACTTCGAGTAGTCTGTGTATGTCTGTCTGTCTATCTATTTGTTTGTTTGTTTGTTTGTCTGTGTCTATCTATGTGCATCTTTTTTAAGGATAAAGCTAATGACTCTCGCCACAGCATTGTGTTAATTTATCTCATTACAGGCACCATTGTGGATCTAACAATATTGAAAAAATTGGGGTAAACTAGATGACGTCCGAGACTGAATATTCCAATCGATCCCCTTGTTCACCTACTCAAATATGGTAAGCAGTTCATAGTGATTCAGCTGGTGATTCGATACCCAAGAGTTATCATATTCAGAGAAGAATAAATCCGCGTTCAGAGACAAGGCTTCCTCGCATGAAATTAGAGTTCCCTTCAGAAAGAAGGTCTAAAATTTCTCAAATGGATTCCATCAAGCAGCCCGGCATCTAATTGGGAGGTAACCATTCAGATTGCCTAAATAAGTTTCTGGAAGTTTAGGCATCCCCAAATGATAGTGGAAGGCCAGGAGTGAATCCCCTCCCTTTGTTTTACAATGAGGCTTCCAGCTAAATGCTGATTGTACGGCATCGAAGCACCAGCGGGGAGCACTGATGCTACGCTGACGTGGATGATGATGATGATGATGATGATGATGATGATGATGATGATGCGGAATGACTAAATCACTTGATTTCCCCAACTTTCTCAAATCAAGAGCCCGGCAAAACAACAAAACGTCACTTGGGATGTTGCAACTATGTACAACTATAGCGGATCTAGAGGTGGAACCATGAGCAACGAAAAATATTCAGAATTTGTAAGTCGTCCTTTGTTGTTCTAAATAGACCGTGTTTGTAGTGTATAACCTAGTCCGAGGTTCTACGGTGAGGACCACATTTTATTTATTTAGCGTCATCAATCGAGCTCATTAAATGCCTTTTGATTTGGATAACAAGATATTTGAGATGTCTCCAAGTCGTTCCGGAAGAAGCTTATGGAGCGTTGTATCTTTATTTCGCTTCCATTAAAACGTATTATAACGTATTTTGTCAATGGCATAACCGTTTTTTGTTTGAACTTTAAAAAATAAACTACTAAAACGCGCACTTTTACAGTTCCACGCAATGCAAACGTGGTCATGTGCTCTGACTGCCTGTTCTGATTTCGATCGCGCTTATAGCAGTCAGTCGCGAGTCACGTGTGCTAAATCTAATATCGAAACACGTCAGATTATCTTTGGAATTTATCATATGTGAGAACTGTTCAGTTGAAGACCCTGGACAACCATGGTTGGATTATTGTTTATTCGCTGACCTGGGCCAACGACGAACTATTTTAAAGAGAACAATTATTAGGGGGTCTGTTCCATATGACTTCTTTTTTATTGTATACCCAATCTAGTGTTAGTATTTTTATTTCTTTGCCACACACTCCTGGTGAAGTAAAGTAAATTACTGGGCAACCAGATCATTACAAGCTCAACGGCTTCGTTAAACTGCTCACTGAGGGACGTCACAATGGCAGATGTGTGGGTCGGTAGTAACTGTACACTTTTTCGTTCTGGATGCGATTACATAGGGCACGCGGATAGCCAAGGTCGGAGGAAGTTGCTTGTTAAGAGGCGGTATTCGGTTAGTTCCGAGTTCCGAGCACTGCATCACGATTCAAAACTGGTTATTTGGACGCAATTCAAATGACAGTGTTGTGTTACCGGCTCATAGGCATTCCTTCTATCACATGCAGGGCTTGTGGGCAGCTTGTCAAAATTCTGGAACACGTGTGAAATCGAAGGTCTACTCTAAGATCAACATTTGGTACGACTGGACACTAATCAGATTCGAACCCTCTTCAGATGGGTTTTTCAACCTGTTGCCAGGTCCCACAACTATACTAGGGTGGATGCCGTCCCATACTGGCTGATATCATGAGAAATATTTGGAACATTTGTTGAAGGTTTCTTCTTGGAATTGAGGGCTGTTTATGCCCATCATCTGAGAATCATTCTCAAGCCGTTTTATCCTTACTGCGAATCATGACCAGTGTGCACTCACTAAACTCCAGGTAGTTTCGAACCGAACCCGTGACTGCCCGGCTCGGCTAGTGGCTTCGGAACTTAACCGTTTGGCTGGTCATCAATATGATTGGCTCTCGCTGACGCAGACGACCAAGCGCCACGGTTACAGACGATTGGACGAGAAAGTAAAGCTCTCTCATGCGCCTTGCTTTTGGTAAACAGAATTTCCGTCTTCTTCTTGAACGCGTCCTCCTGTCCAACTTACCGGGATATTCACTAACCACTACGCAGTTGTAAACGAATGCTGTAAATCAGTTCCAAAAATTCCATAATAAACCACCTTCCATTAGATCAAGGCAGAGTTACAAGAAAACCATATCCTATTCCATTCCTCCATCAGTAGTGTCCACCGCTACACACCTTCTCACTTTAAACGTCGCGTGCATATCGTCGACTTCCATTTACCTGCTTTCGGTCGACCCCAGCTTCTCTTCGAATGTATCATGCCACTTCCGAAGATGAGTTCCACTTATTCTTTCCGACCACCGGCCGTCTTCAATTGGTGGGCGTTCACACAAACTCCATTGCGCAATGAACTGAGGATGTCACCCCGATTGGTTATGAAATGTTTGCAGTCCAACTGCCAAGCTCGGCGATCAGACCAATAACCATTGAATATATCAGGTTAGTTCACGGTATGCTTGCCTTGCATTCCCACGGTGAACGAGGACTGGCTTGATCGGTAGGAAAACTCTACAGACTGCCGATGTGAGAATTCTGTAATTGTATGGTGTTGTGTTATCGCAACCGGAACTGGCGGTATCAGCCAATCCATAGAGTGTTCTCACCCGAATTGTGAACGATTAATAGCGTGCTTGCCGCTGCAGGCTCTAATCGTTTCCTCCGAGAAATCAGTCAGCCACCGGAGGCATCGTCCGATGAAGTTGATCATGATGCTGATGATGATGCCGACGATGATCATGATGACGGTGATGATGATGATGAGGAGGAGGAGGATGAGGATGAGGATGATGGTGATGACGATGATGATGATTATGATGATGATGACGCTGAAGTTGATCATGGTGAAGATGATGATGAAGATGACGATGATGATGAATTTGATGATGATGCGGATGACGATGTAATTGATGATGATGATGATGATGGTGATGGTGATGGTGATGGCGATGAGTAGGATGATGATGATGATTTGACCGGTCCAATCACGCAAAATATGTCGACACATTGTCAACTCGAGTGACTATACAGTTTATTCATCACCTGATTGCCGAGTTGTCCGTCAAGCCCAACAGTTGGATATCCAACGTTTCATTAGACATTAGCCTTGCACGTTGTTCATGCTTGCTATGCTGATGACAGTGAAGCGTTTGTAAC